TAAATTGTTATTTTGTCATATCTTGCCCTGTCCGACGTCCCCCTTCATCCACTTTTCTGTTGTCCATCCCCCAGGGAGGAGGTCACATATAGTTCCTAATAATTGGTTTCCTCTTTCCTACCCACTCTCCCTCTACCCTCCCTGTTTCGCCACTCACACCACTGGTTCTGTAGGGCTCATCCACCCTGGTTTCCCTGTATTTCCAGTCCCTATCTGTACCAACTTTTCACTACTTTCCACACTTTGGACTGCTATGATCCAAATTTCCCACAAATAGAGAAAGTGCTGGTTAACTACCTCTGTTTTGATGAATGAGCTTCTTGGCAAAGTTGAGAAGAGAATAGTAATATGCACAAATCTCAGGCTTGCCAACAAACTATTTAAAGAAAAGGTTTCCTATTTCACAGTCATAACTATCTCATCCTGCCCCCTGAGAAGAATTGTCTTCTGTTTTCTCTGAGAGTACACTAGGATTATGTGATTGCTGTGGAGTAACAGCTTATATGTGTGAACCAAGTATTATGTTTCAGCTATGACTTAGCTTCCCATCATGGGTCTATTGCTCTTTTATGTAAATACAACAATCTGTCAGACCCAGAATTAGAACCTGTTTTGTAAAGCTTTGTAAATAGAAATTAAGAAAAGATAAATATGTCATGGATGAGAGACTAGGTTAAGGGAAGAAACACAAATTTCAAAATACCAAGTTATTCCCATTACTTTATTTCAGGGACTGCTTGATTTCATCATGCTTCAGGGTCCTGGTTCCAGGGATCTACTGATATTCTATATTCTTGACAATGTGTACTTATATAAATAGTGACAGCTTCCACCAGAACCGATGGGTAACTCCTATTAAGTTGTTTAGTATTTCTTGGGTATTTTGTTTTTAATTTTAACTACATCCCTATGGATATGAAATAAGGAAGGCAGCCGAAGAATTGATGCATTTGAATTATGATGCTGGAAAACAATATTGAAAGTACCATGGACTGTCCAAAGAACAAACAAATCGGTTTTGGAAGAAGTAGAGCCAAAATTCTCTTTGGAATTGAGAATATGGAGACTGTCTCACATGCTTTGGACACATGGTCAAAAGTCAGCTATCCCTGGAAAAGGACATTGTGTGAGGTAAAGTAAAGAGGCAGTGGGAAGGAGGAAGACACTTGATGAAAGAGGTCGACACAATGGCTGCAACAATGGATCTCCAAATAGCAACACTTTTTAGGATGACACAAGACCAGCCGGTGTTTTGTTCTGTTGTACACACGGTTGCTTTGAGTCAAACAACTTGATGGCACCGAACAACAACAACAAAAACAAAAGCATCTCTGGTATGTGCACCACTCTCTCCCTATTTCATGAATGAGAATCTGGTGCCTAAGAGAGAATGAACAAAGTTAAAACGATTCTATCTTACTGTCAAATGATAGCTTAAATCACAATTAAACTATTAATTTATAGTTATGGCATTCATTAGGCTTTGAAATCACAAATCATAAAAATTCATACTAATAAATTATGTTACAATGAATTGGTTTTTTGCTTGCGTGTATGGCAGTTTCGTATTGTGTCATAAGATTTGCCTTGCTGCCATCAATAAGCCAGGGCCTGAGATGGTTTAAAATTAAAAAAAAAGAAATTCTAGGCACCACTCTCCTTGATCGTTACTCACCACACAGTTCTGAATTTTTTTAGATTATCTCCTGCAATATCTCCTCATTGTCTCCTGCAATTATCTTATGTCCTTAAAGAAACTATGTCAAGCTTGCCACAATGGAATCTCCGCAAAGAGCTGCCCTAACCTTCTGAGCTGACTAGTCTCATTTCAATTTCATTGACCCAGTAGATAGCCTTCAACACCACGGTTTTGACTGGACCTCGTTTTTTTAAGTCCTCCTAAAGAGATACAAGTGCATCACTGAGAGGACTTGTCTGCAGCCATTCACTGGTTACAGAGGCATGTCTAAACATGATTTTTTAGCATAATTCATCACATGTATGCACTGGAAACCTAGTAGCAGTACTTTTTTACTTATCCTAACATGTTAAAAGAAAAAAAAAAAGCTCTGTTCCACTGCCCTCGGGTTCTCATGAGAGAACCTCATTTCCAAGTTTGCCTCCCAGTTGGCACAGTTGGCTTATTTGTGTCAATTGGAGGGACAAACAGTCTGAAGAGTGATGTTTTCTTTTCAATCATAAATTATTTTTAGGTGAAAGTTTACATAGTGAATTAGATTCCCATTTTAAAATTTTGCAAAAATTGCTTTTGGGACATTGGTTTCAAATATCACGACGTGTCCGCATTCTCGTTATTTCTGTTCTGTTTGTTCTGTGTTCCTTGATTCGGTTCCCTTCTCCTCCGGGCCTGGTTCCCTTTGAGTCTATGTTGACTTTGCTTTTGGACAGTCAATTGCTTAAGAGACAAATCACTCCCGGTCTGGTAAGGGGGTTTGAGGTCTCTTTTCATGTCTTGAATTATTTTCTATAGACCTGATGTACTATAAATGGAAGTCCATTTCAAAGCTACTTTATGAGCCAGCTTCTGTGCTAAGTACAAAATAAATAGAAGAAAATACAAATGAATGTTACAAATGCAAGGAAAGCAATTGCGATCCATTTTATAAGAACAATGAATAACAAATGGGACATACAAAGAATTATTGCAGGGAAAATCATCTAGGAATCAACAAAAGCCTTTCTTAGGAAAATAATTTTTAAGTTGATTTAAAAATTTAAACATGATGTACTTATTACTTATTTGTTGGCTTTCAGTCCTATTCAGTTTTTCTATAACTGGCTTGGAACTTCTGAGCCTGAAAGACTACGGACTATATTTTGATAGCTATCTCTCTGATGGGATCTACCAAGAGAAAGCATGGGAGAGCGGCAATCAGAAAGATGAAGGTACTTGGAAATGTTAGTTTCTGTAAGTTGCCAGCAGTTAAAATAGAAAACCCAGTGCATCTAAGATGCTCATCACACAGGGCAGCTTCAGCTTGAAGTTACTGGTTGGGGGAGCTTGTCTCACTGTGCAGCAATGTGAGAGGCAAGAAGAGGAAGCCCAGGAGAAGAGCAGTTTTTAAATTTCCTAATTATAATATCCTACTTTCATTTTTACTCATCCAACATTCCCCAACTTGACCCCTTCAAAAAATGTTTGTAAATAATTTTTTCTCATAAAACTTTGTCTGCAATACTCAGCACTGTTTTCTTTCCTGGACTGAAAATGGGAGGTAATATCAAGGCATCACAGAAAAAAGAGAATGTCTTGAAACCGATTGTGGTAGCAATTGTACAAATAGTAATCAGCAAAAACTTCCCCTGATTTTTAATATTATACTCAACTTCTGATGTACAATCAATGAACCAAATAAAATAAGCATGCAGAAATTATTTTATGGTAACAAGAAGCTTTACATTATTCTTCATTTTCAGTTGTAGTGTCCCATTCCCAGTGTCTCACTGCATCTTCCCCAGTGATACCACCTTGAGGATGGCCCTGCGGATCTGCTGGGTCTTGATGCTGTAGATGACAGGGTTCATCAGGGGTGGGAAGAGGACAGAGATGGTGCCCATGAGGATGTGTACCAGAGGGGAGGTGTGGTGCCCAAACCTGTGCACGATGGATAGACCTAGCACTGGCACATAGAAGCAGAGCACTGCCAATATGTGGGAGACACACGTGTTGAGGGCCTTGAGACGCTCCCCTGCAGAGGCGATGGCCAGCACAGTGCGGAGGATGACGGTGTAGGAGAGAAGGATGAAGAGCACATCAGAGCCCATGGCCAGCATGATCATGCATAGTCCATAGATCCTGTTAAAGCGGGTGTCAGAGCAGGCCAGACGGATCATATCCTGGTGAAGGCAGTAGGCATGGGAGAGGGCCCCGGGACGACAGTAGTCAAATTTTAACAGGTGTAATGAGGGTGCAGCAGTAAGAACTGCACTCCGCATGCCCAGCACAACCCCAGCCAATGCCACCCGAGGGCCCGTGAGCACTGATGCGTACCTCAGTGGGAAGCGAATGGCCACCAGGCGATCCAGAGCCATAGCAAAGAGCACAGCCGATTCCATGAACGAGAAGGAGTGGAGGAAGTGCTGTTGCAGAACACAGGGCACCAGGCCGACAGCCCGGGCATCAAACCACAGCACACCTAGCACTGTGGGCAGTGTGGACATGCACAGGCCCAAGTCTGTCACAGCCAGAATGGCCAGGAAATAGTACATGGGCTGGTGGAGGGAAGGATCAGTTCTTACCAGATGCAAGATAGTGGCATTACCGAGGAGGGCCACAAGGTATCCTACAAAAATTGGCAGGGAGATCCAATGGTGAGCCCACTCCAGGCCTGGGAATCCCGTCAGCAGGAAAGTAGAGAAGCTCAAGTTGGCATTTGGTAGGGTGGGCATTCTCTTTCTCCAGTGGCCTGTTCACTCTGGCAAAGGTGGCAGCATTTAATAATAAGCTTGTTAGCACGAGCCCTCTCTCCATCACTGCATCCCAAGTATCTGCTGTCTTGTATGGTTACTCTGCCCTCTCTAGACTCAATGATCTCTCAATTAAATGCTAACAAAAAAATCGCTGAAGTGGTTTCCCTGTTTTCTCGTTCGTTTATTTCTCTCCAACCTTTGCTTATGTTAGCTAAATCTCTTCAAGCCCTTTTCTATTTCTGCTCTTGAGCAGCTAAGAAAAGATAAGATTGTTGGGACTTGACTCAGAAAAATGTGTATAGCTAAAACTGAACAAGGTGCTTACATTATCAGAAATTCCTCTGTATCAGGTCAGAAGATGCTCCTTTTTTCTTTATAAACTCTGAAAGAACTCTATGATGCTCCCTGCTCTGTAACTCACCCCTCAGACACCCCCTTGGGACATTTGGGAGACTCTTTTGAGGTGTAATAATTCAGCAAATAAACTCTACACCTTTATAGCTGTTAACTCTATTTCTGAGAATTTTTCTTTTCTAATCTGAGTTCAGAAAGAGCCCTGGTGGAATAGTGGGCTACATATTGAGGTGTTAACTGCACACTTGGCGGTTTCAAAGGAGAAAGATGAGGCTTTCTTCTTCCATGAAGATGTACAGCCTGGGAAACCCAAAGGGACAGGTCTACCCTCACCTATAGGGTTGCAATGAGTCCGAAGCAATTCAGTTACAGTGAAATTCTTCTTTGTCTTTTTGTTTAATCTAATTTCAACATGCAGAGAGACACCTGCTCCCTGGTGTGAAAATGCTGTACCTTGTCATTTCAAAGATAGGCCTCCTTAGAAATTCACCTGCACACCTGATGCAGCTTGTAAATCAGGTAACTTTATTACTGTAATGTTTTCTGTGAAAGCATGGCAAACAAGCATATCAATAAATGTGCCTCCAAATAGAAGCCTCCACAATAAAACCTGCATCCATAATAAAATCTACACCTTGCTCAAATTAGTTTATTAAACAAGAAAAACATGATCACTAGGGAAAATACTTACAAAATAATCTCTGATGCCCTGAAAGTTGGTGTCTAACATAATCTTTGCTTCTGCATCTTCACCAGTAAAATAATGCAATGCCATCTCTATTCCAAAGAATAGATGTGGGTTTCAATTGGCATTCATATCTACAGAATTTACCATAAAGCCTGGCTTATAATAAATAGTGGATATAGTTGGTATTGATTTTGAAACTAAATATTGATTTTGGGTGGGGTTATTTCCCCCTATAGTTTCTGCTTTTATTATACATTTTCCATTTAAATGATACATTCTATCTCCTATATAAAAATGTATATATACTTTAATAGGATAGTGTCCAGATATTGGCAGACAGTCCAATGTATCCTTGGAGAATTGAAAATCTGAGGGGATGGTAGACTGCAGGGACAATTGAGAGAGTGATGGAAGGGATACAGAAGCATTGGTCAAATCCCACACTGAGTGACAACAAAGTAGACTACGGGTGAGGGAAGCACATGCAGACTGGAGGAGAGCATTAAGAGCTTCCGACAGAAATAACGAGAGTCTGTAAAATGACGAGTTTACTTGGAATATATTGAGAGGCACATAGGAAGGGAACATGAAACAAGTGAGATAGGAGAAACAGAAGAATGAGGGAGATGGAATCTGGCGACAACTATGATAAAATGTGGAAAGAAGCAAGCCCGGTATGTGTGGCTTAGGAGAAGGAACCGAGGAGCAGAGGGAGGAGGAGGGACTGAGTTAAAGGGCAGAGGATGAGGGACAAACTAATCCCCAGTGTCGAAGAGAAGATTGAAGAATTCAGGAGAACGATTGATAGCAAATAGACATGGAAAGAGGATTGGCCAGAGAGTAGAGAGTGAAGAACAGTGACGAGAAAGTTCACGGAATAATTTGAGGGCCAGCTTATGAACGATGGATGGAGGAGAATGTACTAGAGATGGGGACAGACACCGGTTAAAAGAAAATGAGAGAGATGCTGTCAGAGATAACATTAAAGAGAGGGTTGTGGAAGTAGATCAGCTGGCAGCAAAAGGACAGGGAGGTCTGAATGGTACATAGAGTGAAAAATAGGGACCGTAGTGGTTATGCAGCTCTGGTAGTGTGTGACTTGTTGGCCTGCTAACTGCAAGATTGGAAGTTCAACACCACCAGCTGCTCCCCAGAAGGATGAGGCTTTTTACTCCCATGAAATTTTGCAATTTTGGAAATCCTGAGCTAGCTCTATCCTGCCCTATAGGGTCACTATGAGTCGGAACTGACTCAATGGCAGTGAGTTTTGAGTTTTCAGTTAAAGAACCTTGGTTGTGAGGTGGGTTAGGCATTGAGCTGCTAACTGCAAGGTTAGAAGTTCAAACCCACTAGCTGTTTTGTTGGAGAAAGATGAGATTTTGCTTACATGGTCACTTTAAGTCAGAATCGACTAGATAGCAGTGTTTGGTTTAGTTTAGTGGTCAAATGCTGTGTCACTGCATTGGGGAATGTTAAGAAACAGAAGATTTTGTATTGAGAAACTTGAGATCAGTTCCCTAAAGAAGAGCCAGACAACGTCTCAGTACTTTTTGCTCAGGCTTCTCACTTCAATTCCACTGGATTTTGACAAATCTGTCCAGTTCTTTGGGCCTCTAGACACAGTGTTTCATGTTACCATCCACCTGTAGGTAATATATTGTGGTAAATAATAATAGTTAACTCTGAAATCAACCATGTCTCCAATATTTAACAATTCTATGATTATTTAAATTGTTGTCTAATCTCAGTCTCCTTATCTAAATATTGAGCCAATTAAATTAACCACCTTTGAGGTGATGGAGATAGATATCTATCATTGTGGTTACATTAGAATCATACATTGATTATTATTGGCAGTGTATATCACTCTCTCTTCTTATCAAAAGATAGCCATACTATATATCTACTAACATAAGAGCCACAATATTACCACCAAGAGAGAAGCAGTGAGCAGCCTAGAAACTCCAGGGTTGGAGCTCAGAGCTCTTGAGCAGGTTTTTGTATAAGCCAGTCTCTCTGCACCTTATCTACTTCCTACGAGGGGAGACTTTCTCACTTTCCCTGACTTAATATTAAGGCAATATTAATACTTAATATCAGGTTTATTAGGACTGTGAGAAGTGTTGGAAGTCCCTCACCTGGGGAGGTGTTGAGATTGTGATTTTTATGCCTGCCACACTCTGCACTTCTTCCTATGGAAGCCCAGTCCAGCAACACAGTCAGGTCTCTCTGTGCAATAAAAGAAAATCACTGGGAGATATAGACTACGTGCTCTTACTCATACTGTGTCTTCTTCAGAAAACTCCTAATCCACAACTTTACTTAGACACCTACTACATAAAAGATAATCAGAGAAGTCATTTGTTTGACTCACTATCCACAAAGCAAGGGGATTTTTTTGGTTTTTAAACTTACTCATTTTTCTGTCTGTAATTCCTTTTCAGGCCTCTAAGCACTTACCTCTCCTGTCACAGCCAGTTTAAACTGACTCAGGGAATGGCCCTGCGTTTGCTGCAGTGGCCCTTATCAAGTCTGTTTCTTTCTTTCTTTATCCCTTGGGTCTGGGACTTTAAGAGAAATTTCCATAGATAGATGCAGACCTGATTAATCCCATAGAGAAATCCAGATCCTGCCATAATAGCGTTTTGGTATCTCGGTCATTTCCCATTGAAACTACGATCACAATGGTAGTAACTCTCTTCTGAACATCATTTTCTTTTTCTTCTTTGTTTCTGTTTTGTATTGATGCTCAGTTTTCTTTTCTTCCTTTTTCTTTTTTTTTTTTCTTCTGTTTTGTATTGACACTCAGTTTTCTTTTCTGTGTTTCTTTTCTTGCTCCAGGCAAATTTCCCCATTGAGTCTTTAGATTGAAAGATTAATATGAATCTCTATCTCAGGGAAAATTATCATCTTCTACAGGAGATTGTTGTGAAAAAGAAAAACTCTCCGGGAGAAAAAGTGGGAAAAAAAAGACCTCACAAGAAAGATAAACACTGGCAAAAATGAAATAAAAATAGTAAATATTTAAATCAAATAAGACAAAAAATAAAACCACACCCTTCTCATTCCATTTAATTTCCTTTCTCCATGGAAATAATTACTTTTCAGAGTTTGCCATGTCTCATCTCAGTTTAGTTATTTTATGCCTTTTTTGCATATCTATAAACAACAGGTACCATGATAGTACAAGCTTACATAGTTCTATAATAGCTACCATACACAAACATGCAATATGTTTTTGATCAACCTGGTATATTTATTTGAGATTTATACATGTTGTGCTATTCAGCTACTGTGATTTCAATGGTATATATTATTTGTTGTATGACTGCATTAGAATTTACTTACATAATCTTCCCTTAATAGACAATGGGTGAGTGTCAATTTTTACTTTCTTAAACAGAGAAGCAAAAAATATTATTGTACGTGTCTTCTTCTACAAGAAGAGATGTGAAATTTTCTCCACAAAAGCATGTCAATTCTATATCAAAGAATGGGTGAATCATTTACTTCTAAAAATCTCCCAATAGTGAATGATGGGGGGAGTGCGGAGTGGAGATCCAAAGCCCATTAGTAGGCCACTGGAGATCCCCTTGTAGAGGGGTCTCAGGGAGGAGATGAGCTAGTCAGGGTGCGATGTAACAACAATGAGAAATACAACTTTCCCCTAGTTCCTAAATGTTTCCTCCCCGCTCCCATTACCATGACTCGAATTCTACCTTGCAAGTCTGGCTAGACCAGAGGATTTACACTGGTACAGATAGGAACTGAAAATACAGGGAATCCAGGGCGGATGAGCCCTACAGGACCAGTGGTGTGAGTGGCGAAACAGGGAGGGTAAAGGGAGAATGGGTAGGAAAGAGGGAACCGATTACAAGGAACTATATCTGACCTCCTCCCTGGGGACAGACAACCAAAAAGTGGGTGAAGGGAGACG